GCATAATAAAAAACGCAAGAATTTTTTTTCATTACTTAATTATTAATTATTAAGGAATACTTTTTTAATATACTAAAATTTAATTTATAGAAAAGATAAAATATTCCATGTTTTGGAATACTTTTTAACAAAATTTCAGTATTTCAGATTTATTATTTCAAATTTTAGTTTCATTTCAGTAATTTTTAATTAAAAAATCCATTTTCAGCAAAATTTCAGCAAAAATTTCAGACATTTCAGCAAAAATTTTAGAGAAATTTCAATTCAATTTCAGCGATTTTTCGTATGTTAGCTGAAAAATTCACTTTCAATAAAATTTCAGCAAATTTTCAGTAATTTCGTTAACATATTCTAAAACGGAATAATTTCAGCGAAACATTTTTCACTAGGGATGAACTAATATTTATTGTATATGGCTATAACTTAATACACTTTCTCATAATTATCTTAAATCTTAGTTAATTAAAATACGTATCAGTAGTAACGTCACAAAATAAGTCCGAATTACCTCATGGGGTTCCTGTTTCGATGTATCATTCGTCATGACAGTACTCAGTGATGAGATGCTGGTACGAGAATTACTGCGGCTAACGGTAGTCGAGGGAGGTTGAGAGGATTTTTCATCCGTTTTTGCTTGATTTTCTAACAATCGACCGAAGTCCACACCCATGGATCTTAGCTCGTCATAAGTGCTGATAAATAGAAAATACGAAGCAATAGAAGTGACGGCGTTCTAAATATTTCCTTAAACTTGCAAATGTTCTAAAAATTTCTAAATATTCTAAAAATTCTAAAACTTATTTTATACGATTCGAACCATTCAAACATTTCGTCTCAATATTGATATTTAGTTTTTTTTCTATTAAAAAAAGTAATAATTCTTGATGTATTAAAATAAATATAAAATAAATCATTTTGCCGTATTTTGCCCATTGGGTAGATGAGTTAAAATTGTCACATATAAAAATCATTGTTTGTATATATTGTGATATATTAATAAAAAAAAAGTCTTAATAAATATCATTTTATTTTCTTTCTACAATCTACAAATTATACTCATCTCTATGTTCTTTTTTTGAATTCAAGGATTCAAAGATCCAATTGTGAAATTAATAATAACATTCTACAAAGCAATAAAATAAATATACGAATAAACGAACCTTAACAAAGAAATTGTAACGAGATTGCAATAAAATACTAATTAAAAGGTAGAAAGAAAAGTGCAGTAAAATCATTCATACCCTTCAGCCTGGATGACACCGTCCTTTAGAACGATAATTCTACCGACGTTGCGTAGATATTGCAATTGATGAGTGACGAGAATCCGAGTCTTGCCTCGTAAATATTTATCGATGCATTCTTCAAACATATGTTTGCCCACATGAGCGTCTACGGCGCTCAAAGGATCATCCATGAGATAAATGTCGGCATCAGCGTAAATTGCTCTCGCCAAATTTATTCTGTAAGATATCAGCGCTTTATCAATATGACTTGTGCTGATATGCTTTTTATAACTATTTATGCAACACAAACAAAACTTTTCAAAAAAATTAAATAGAGTTTGTACAATTTTTTCATAAAATTAATTTTATTTGGAACAAAGTTAAACTATTAAATTGCATATATTAATTGTATTGAAATTTAATTAAAATATTACACGCATATATAAATTAATTCTTCAGTGTTAAAAATCAAAACTCTTATTCTGTGTATCAAATATAAAAAATTTAAACATAAATTTTTAAATAGTTGTTTAAAAATGAAAATTTACTTTTCTGAAAAATTAAATATATACGCAAAAAATATTTATTTTAAAATAAGAAAAAATCAAGAAAAAATTATAATTATATGAAAAATTAATCATATTAATAAAAAAATTAATTATATAATTAAATTAACAAAGATAAAACGTTGACTAACAATAAAAAGAGAAAACTAATTAAAATGTTAAAGAAAATCTTAAAAATTAAAAGAGAATCATCTGAATTTACAGATCTAAATATTATAGATATAAATTGTATAAATTTTGCATTCTTCATCTATATCTAATTAGAATAAATACAAACCAACCTAGCACGTTGGCCACCAGAAAGGCTGATACCTCTCTCGCCTACAATCGTCTTATCACCATAAGGTAGCAGATTGAAGTCTGTCTTTAACTGACACACTTTAGTTACACGATCGTATCGGACCTGATTCATCTTTCTTCCAAACAGAATATTTTGTCTCACCGAACCTGCGAAAAGCCACGGTTCTTGACTGGCATAGGCAATCTTGCCGTTAACCTGTGAAAATAGTATTTAAAAAAATAATAATATATATAAAATTTAGTTAATTTATAAATATTTTAATTAATTAGAAATATAAATTTTGAAATAAATTGATTAAATAATTTATTTTTATGGACAAAATAATTTATTCGATATTTTATATCTATTGAAATTTCTTAAATATTTAACTAAAAATGGAATTGTCAACGTACTTTAATGGAACCTTCTTGCAAACGCAATTCTTTCAGAATGACGTTCAATAAACTGCTCTTGCCTGCGCCGACCTGACCGACGACAGCGATCAATTCACCAGGACGCACTTTCATGTTGATTCTCTGCAAGGTGTCTTCTCGTTCATAATCCAGCCACTTAGCGTTTCCGTTTTCGATGGAGATGCTGTACTCGACATTGTTCGGTAATTGCACATCGTTTTTTTTCTGCGCGAAATTTTCCTTCAAATTTTCTATATTGTTCTCCTTCATGTCCTGTTGATTAGACTCCTTTGCATTCTTGTCATCTTTTGTGTCCTCCTTATTATTTTCTTTATTATACTTCTTTGCTTCGCTCTCAGAAGCTGTCATTTCGTCATACATCAAGAACTTCTGCAATCTTTTTATGGACACTCTCGCTTCCGCTACCTGTGTTATTCCTAAATTACCAAAAAAAAAAAAACAGAATTGAAAAATAAAAGAAAATAAAAATGTAGAGTAGTTCACCAAAATAAAGATATATAATTATTAACGGTATACATATACTATACCATCAATTATTGAGACTCAAATTTATATGACTAATAAAAGTGTATAAAATTGTAAAATATAATCGAAAAAAAAATACAATAAATAGAACAATGAAAGATAAAAAAATAAATGAAATTAAAAGAAGGAAAAAGACGATAAAGGGAAAAAATAATTTAAAGAAGAAAAAAAATAGAAGAAAAAAAATTTGAAGAAAAAATAGAGGAAGTTAAAAGATAAAAAATTAAGAGATAAAAAATATAATTACGAGCGTCATCAACTTTGACGACATTATTCGTATAATTAATGTATTTCAGCACTAATTATCTCATACCTTGCGGAAAGAGAACAGTCATGGTTGTGCGTAAGCTGTTGTAATAGGCAGTTACTACGAATACTTTCTGGGCTGTAACCTTGTAACCGAACAGCACGTAAGCCAGCACTGTGATGAACAGCGACATCCTCGTGGTGAACATGATGAACGACATGGTGACACCTCTAATGTACGAAACCCATCGGATGACATTAACTTCTTTCCTGCAAATAAATTCTGTATCGTCAATCATTTTTTCTTTTTCCTATCGAATTGTATTTATTTTTTCTAAGAAACGCATATATGAATACGCAGATTTGTATTAAATCTACAATTTAATATCGATAATTAAAAAAAAGCCATTGAAATTCAGAATTATAAATAAAATAATACAATGTTTTATAAATCACGTTGTTCAACGTAAAATTACTAATGTAAGCAACGATGCTTACTTTCTTGCTTTTTGTATGAGCGCGCTGAACGGATTCTCCCAGGTATACATTTTGATGGCTTGAATTCCGCTTATGATCTCATTCGTCAATCGCACCCTTGCGTCGGTCCTGATGGCGGTTTTTAATCTCAGTTCTGACGATTTTTTGCCCAACCATCCTAAAAAATTTCAAGAACGAGATATGAAATGCAATTAGAAATTATTGGTGATTTACAAAAAGTGTTCACTATGATTCAGTAAACAAAAAATTAAGAAATCCTATGGTTGTCTGTTTTACTGATTAAATACAATAATTTTTGTGTCACAATTTCTTTTTTTTTTTTATAAAAAGATTAAAAAATTTTTTTCCAGAATTAAAGTATAAGCATTAATGTGTATTTGTAAGGGGGAGTCTACCGAAGAGAAAAAAATTTTGGAATTTTTGTGAACATAATAAAGCTCAAATAAAAAATAAAGAATAAATTAAAAATGACAAAGAAAATAAACATTATCTTTCTAAATCAGTTTTAAAATGATTATTAATTATAAAAAGGAAATCTCCCTTATAAAATTAAAAACTTACTTTACACTTAAACATCATAATTATTTTTAATTTTATTTGTGATTAATCGTTTAATCTTCTAAATTTTTTAACAATTTCTAACAATTTGAAATCAATTTTAGATTTAATTTTAGATTCCTAAAAGCAACATTGAAAATTATTATCCTCTGGCGTAAGTTTCATGTATAACAAATAAATAACAATGAAAAAAAACCATAACAATAATAACATAAATAAGCCTTATTTAATAAGAATTCATTGCTTCTAAAAAAATATACTTATTTTGAAAAAAATCGATTAATTTGTTATTTTTTCATAGTTAGAAAGTTCAATAATATTATAATATATTAAATAGTTAAAAAATAGTTATTTTCGTAAATTAAAATAATATTTTTTTAATACATTGCAGTGTCACAATATTTTCAATAAGCACGCGGAAACAATTTGCTGAAGAATTTAAAATTTTTCTGGATACAAATCTGAAAATAATTTTATTAGATCATTAAAATAATTATGTTAGAAATTAAAAAGTGATAAGTAATCCTGTAAAAAAATATTGATATTTTAACAATCAATTTGAATTTCCAATAAAATTATTTTGATGGTCTAATGAAATTATTTTCAAATCTGCAGTCAATAAAATTATTTCTATTTGCATCAATATATTTTAAAAATAATTATTTTCAAAGAAATTTTTTTTTAATTTTTAACCAAAGCGAAAAAATGATTTTTGAAATTCGATTTAGCGAAATTATTTCTAATTTAAACATTTCTGAACTTTGCTGACAAGAAACACACATATCACTTTTAATTCAATCGTTTGATTACTTTTATCATCAAAAACAATCAAAGCAGAGATTTTCTCACCTTGTAAAGGGATGAACATCAGCAAAAAAGCGACACCGATGACAGACGATACTCCGACGTCGATCACGTCATACATTACGTACGTCATGATGATGGTTTCCAAAGGTCCGAGCCATAGATAATGGAGAAATATGATACTGACATCGAATCTGTTAACATCATTAGACAGCAAATTGACTGCCTGGCCGATTGTAGTCTCGCCCAGCGCGGTTTTGGTCAGCTTCAACGTCTTGCGATAGATTAGTGAACAGCAGGCCACGCGGACTTTCATGCCCATGTGCAACATACCTATCGTGTACGGATGGATAACGAACACGTTAAGAGCGGAGCACAAAATGACTCCAACAGCGTATCCATACGCGTAGGACTTGTCGACGTCCGTGGTGTTAAAGTAAAGTAACATCTGACCCAACAGTAATGGTTGCAGCACCCTGTCATATGAGAGATTTCAGAAATATTATCACTTATTTAGATAACCATTTAATATAATTATTAATTAGATCTTGAAGATTTTGTAGATGAGATTGGATCAAGCTGTTGTTTCAATTGATGTAAATGCATCAGGCAAACATACTATAAGTAAAAGTTTCTACAAAAATGGGAACTTCCACATTTTAATTACGACTTTTATCAAATTTAAGCTGAACAAATAATAAATGGAAGTTGATTGTGAATAATTTTAGAAAACATTTAACTTTAGAGTACGCTACTTTAGAGTAAAATAGAAGATAGTTTAAAAATTTATATAAAGAAGTAACTACAATGGAAATTATTTAATAAAAATGAATTTTATTAATGAATTTTAATTTGCTTTTAATTTAATAATTTCATAATTACTAATTGCAATTATAATTTCATGAATTTTTATTTTCTTTTAATTCCATAAATACATATCATTCATTTTTTAGTTAAATCTTTATTTTGGTTAAATATTTATTCACACACGATTAAAAAAATACTGTGAAAATTATGTTAATAGACATCATGTTGATAGATAAAAGTCATTTGATGGTAGATTTAATTCCGCAGAATTAAATTGTCAGTTTTTTTATACTAGTCAAGATACTACTTTTTTTATACTAATCAACACAAGAAATATAAAAATTTGAAAACTCTGAAAAGAGATTCTTCAGAGAGAATTTCTGGGCGAGAAATGAGGGAGATTCCCAGCAAATAAGCTAAGGTCATTTTGACGCCATTTTAACATTAAAGACATAAAAAATGCATCAAAGCTTGATTATACCTAAGCAAGATGTCCATAACGGCCATAAAGATCCCGTATAATAAGGTCTGGAAGCCGAAACACTTGATGAGGACTTTCATCAAGCTGGGCTCTTTGACCTTCTTCTGCGTTCCGCTCTTCGCGACCTGCTCCAGCCGATGCTGATACGCCTCGCATTCTTTCTCCCAGGCCTTCGCTATTTTAACACCAAGAATACCACTTGTATGTTCTTTAAGCGGGGTGTACAAATCAGTTACTTCAAGATCTCGGCGATAACCCACCCAGAAAATGCGTAGGATCCAACTGCAAAGAAGAAAAGCAAAGCAAACATGTTTTACTCGTATGAATCATCCGCAATTTGTCTAATTTCTGAGTTTCTTTCGCTAATATTTAATTTCTTCCGCTATTTTTCAAGATATTACATCGCTTTACATATTATTATGTAAAATTAATCTATATCTTTCTTTCTATTTCTAAACCTATAAAAACCACGTTTAAAATTAACACAATCAATTAAAGTTTAAAGTAATATAATCGAGAAGAATTTTTTTCTGGAAAACTCGATGTCAAGATATATTTCTACAAATTTAGAAAATTAAAATCGGGCAATACACAAAAAATTGTACGTTATTAAATATTACTGATTAATAAGAAACATGCAAAATAACATTATATAATTATACAATAATTAATATATGAAAAATGTTTTTTAATATTTATTAAATATATTAAAAACGTTTATTTGTTAAATTTCATAAAAATAATCATAAGTGATTTGATGAAAGAGATACGACTAACAACAACAGATCTATGAATTTAAATCAACAATTTTCCCTTCGAGAATAAGAAGACATGAGGAACTTAATGAAAATCATTCAAGCTATATTTGATTTCAGCGTTATATCTATACCAAATAAAATTGGAAAGATAAAATATATCGTTTATTTGCTACAACATAATTAAAAAAAAATAGTTTTCCAGAAAAAGA